CTACCTGCGCTCTGACAAACAAGGTTTTCTTTCAAAGCACGCCCGAGAGCTGACGCCACGCTCCCCGTGTGCGTTCTGATACTTGTCCCGGTAAGACATCTTGCCAAGCGCTTGCTAAATATTAATCTGCTTGGGAAGAAGGCTCCTGAGGGAGAAGGTGTTTGTTTTGTGCTGGTCTCACACCCACGGAGAGCTGCTGACCTTGGACGGCTGCGAAGCAGGGGGCGGTGGTTGTTCCTTACGAAGTGTTTATGCCAGGGTGATGCCTAAAGGCCCACGTGACGCGACGGAGGGATCCTGCCTCTGCGAGCTGATGGCAGGATCAGGCCCACACAACGCTTGCCTCTCTCTGCTTTCCCTGTGCTCTCCCCGATTATTTAGCTTCTGCTTTGTGTAATTTATTCCTCCACGCACTTCACAGCCATCAAAACCTGTTTCTGAGATCGGAGAAGAGTCTGGCCCCGGTGCGGGCTGCGCACACGCCCTGACCCCACGTGCAGCCTGCCCCAAGGGCTGTCGCAGCCCCTTCCTTCGCGTTCCGAGTGCCGACATGTCCTCTGAGCCCTGGCGCTCTGGCTTTGCAGCTCTTGTGCTTGACCTTATTAGCGCGGTGGTAACGTGACGCCATGGCATTGAGGGTTGGATGCTGTCCGTGCTTATCCCGCAGGGAGAGCCGGAGGAAGTCCAGAGGGGCACCGCAAAACCATGGCTCCCTCCCAGGAGCCCTCCCTAGGGTGCAGCTTCCCTTGCACTGTGAATTTCTGGAGGATGAAACCGGTGTTGCCTGCGGCATGTGTGTGCCATAATAATAAGTGTGATTTCTGCTTTTTTTACTTTTATTTTTCCTTTTAGAAACCAAACACCACCTTAATCATTGTAGAGGGTTTAGCCTTCTGTCCCAACTTGCCCTCCCTCACAAATCCCCTACCCAAACCTCGTCCAAGAGACGTAGGCAGCATAAACATGAAATCCCTTCGAAGGGAAGAAAGCTCAAAGGGCCATGGAGTCAGGCTGCAGACTGTGTTCTTCGGATACCCGACCTGGACATCAAGACAGGTATTCTGGAGAGATCCACTCTGGTTGACCTCCCTTCTCATTCGATAGTCACAGAACTTCACAACAAATCTATGCGCTTTCACTGAAGCACTTGCAATTTCTGATTGCATTTTAACAAGTATTTCTGTCACTTTGCTCCAAAGATCGATCATAATACAGCTAACAACTTGGCAAGAGCAGGAGTTCTTCTGGGCAGAGCTGTGGGGACAACGCTTCTGCCTCCACCACTGTCTTTTGAGCATGGAAGAGTAAATCCTGTCTGCTTCCTACAAAGAATCTGAAGTTACCCAAGCTGGGGACTTGCATGAGAAATGAAAGGTTGGGACGTGACCAGGAGCTGCCAATTTGGAAGACAGGGAGTCAGAAATGGCTGCAAGGAGGTGCCTATGTGCTCTGGAAAAGCCATGTTGATCCATCAATGCCCTCCTCCTCCTTTCCATGGCTCTTCAGAAAAGCAAAGGCCATAGGATGAGGGTGGCCTGGGCACTCGGCACAGCCAGGGCTGGGCCATGGGGATGTGCTGATGCCATAACCCCCTCTGCACGTTGCTGCGGTGGGAGCTTTGGGCAGGTCTCTGGAAGGAGCTGGTGGGTCCATTTTTTCAGTTCAGCATCTGTGCTCATCACCAGCTAGATTTCCCTTTACAAGAAGGGTTTGTTGGATCGTACCTTGTACCTGGCAGCTTTCCTGGAAGCCCATAAAAAGGGAACATTGTCACAGAGAAAAACCAAGCTTGAGAAAGCCCTTGTCAAAGCCCCAGCTTGCAACCTGCATGCAAACGCAGCTCCTCCTGTTGCTCTCTTGGTCTGATCCATCTTCTCTTTCCATTGCTGCTTTTCTAGGCCAGAGCGCATGGGGGTTGAGGACTCCTCACCGCTGGGAAAGCAGCCCACGCCTTTGGGGTCTGAGGCTTTGGGCTGAGACGTGCTCATTGCTAGGGAGTCAGAAAGGATGTGTGTGTGGGCAGAGTTCAGGGCAGCGTTGAAGTGGGGTGGTGTCCCATGGGTGAATGGTGGCTGTCGGTCCCTTGTTTGCGAGTTGTTGACTCCATGGGGGAGAAACTCTTCTGCGTTGTCTGTAACCTTGCCCACCCAAGTCCCAGTGTATTTTTCAGTCCCACGTGCAATGGAGTTCCAGCACCCCTGGACGCTTTTCTTGTTGGCCGCTGCAGAGGCTGTGCTCCTGGGGAGGCTGGGCTAGATGTCTCGGTTGCTTGCAATGTGGTAGCCCAGCAGCGCAGCCAGGACTCGTTTGGAACTGCCAATCCCAGCAGCACGTGCTATAGCACCCTGCCTTGTGGTGCCTTTTAGCATCTCACGTGGGCTCCCAGTATTCAGGTCCTCTTTAGCGTAGCCAATATCTGGATGCTAAAAAGTCTTTCATTCCTTGTTGAAAGCTAAAGGAGTGGATGCGGGGCCGGAGATGGCCTGGGCATGTACTGCGGTCAGCAGAGCACACGCACCCTTCCTCCCACAGCTCCAGGGTGATGCGTTTCTGTCTTATGTTTTGGCACGTGGATTCCCAGGTCTTTGCACATGAGCCTTGGACCCCTTCCCTGGGGTCTGGACTAGCGGCCAATTAATACCTGCCCTCTAGTGCCTTCCTATTTCCTTAAATAAAAGAGAGCTCAAGTGGTGGTGCCCCTGGGTGTTCCTCCCTTGGTTTGAGCAAACACTGAGCCCTGGGTCGGTTGTTCCCACTTAGCAGTGCGACCAGCCGGGGAGCAGCCTCCCAGCGTACCTGGAGCGAGGAGCCAGAGCCTCGAAATACTGTTGTGACGGAGGCCGCATGTGCATGTGAACCCCCTTTGTCTGAACGAGTCTTTTGCTTCTAGTTGCTGCCAAGTGGTGGGGAACCAAAAGGATCGACTACGCTCTCTACTGCCCTGACGCTCTGACGGCTTTCCCAACGGTTGCTTTGCCACACCTCTTCCACGCGAGCTACTGGGAGTCCACAGACGTTGTCTCCTTCCTGCTGCGACAGGCACGGTCGTAAACCCCGGATCTCCCTTGGGCTGAAAAATATTTTGGACTCTTTTTTTTTTTTACCACTGCACCTTCCATAACTCTTGTTGATGGGTAGAGATGAAAAAATACCCTTTGCCACTGCAGATCCATTTTCTTCCCCTTCTTTTTCTTCCTCAACTGTGGTGTTAGCGGAGCTGCACACATGCAAACTTCATGGATGTGGGCTGTCGCACCTGGTTAGCTTGAGTCTGTTTTATCATCAGAGCAGGTTTCAGCTTGCCAGGGAGCCATGGAGTGAGCCCAGGGCCGTTTCCTATCAGATCACAGTGGCAAAAGTTGGTGGCACTTGTTTCTTGAAGTGAGCTGTTCTCTGTGTGTGCAAGTTTGGATCTTAAGTCTGAAACTTAAAGGAAACTTCTCAATGTACAAATAAAAATAGCACCAAACACAATAAAACCAAAGGAGAAGTTTTGTATGAACTTGATGTGAGTTGATAGGCAGGGTTGGGCTCTCCATTTTGGCTTTCTAAGTTATTGTGGTCTCCTCTAGGAACTCAGGCCATCGTCACTGCATTGGGATTTAGCCTTCGTTCCTCCAGTACAAAGCAGTTCTCCTGAGGCTAGGTAAATGGGGATTGCTGGTGTCTGGAGTCTGCCATCTCAGACTCTATCAACCTACATCTGGCCTGAGATTTAAATGTACTGTTTAAAATGTGTTTTTCCTAAAATAAATGTTTTTCCTTCAGTTCCTTGGGGATGAGGGGGAGTTACGTGCCTTACAAAGTATGAACCCGCCAAGGAACAGTACTTAGAGCACGGAACTGGAAAAAAACAAAACTAAAAGCAACTCTGTGGATTGTGTTGCCCACTTCGGCTCTTGGGTTTGCTTTGTGTTAGCTCAGCTGTTAAGCCGTCCCCGCTCTCTTCCAGCCTTCTCGATTGCAGCTCTCAATTATTTATGATTCTGTTGGCAAACTTTCCTTCAGTGCTGTTTTCCAAATAGTGTGGAAACCATAAACAACAGAGATGTCAGTGCTGGTGGCAGCTGAGCGGTAGCAATAATCCAGTGAAACTCTTTCTTCCCGGGCTGTATCTAGCCCAGCAAGACATCTCTGTGCTTGCACACACCTTGCTGGACCAGCTGCTGTGAAACCCCAGCCCCGCATTGAACTCAGCCTAACGGGGCTGAAGAGAGAGAGACCCGTAATTGTGCATGAGTGGGAACAGTCGTGACAGTCTCGTACACAAAATGCTCCACTCAAGAAATACCCGATCGCTCAGGATTCAGCCCAAACCTGGGTCTGTAGCACAGCGTGGTGCTTCATATCCTGTGGCTTGAGATACCTTTCCATCCATTTAAAGCCTGCTGGTACCTGCCTCGGTAGTTGGGCACCCCCCTTCCCCAACGCCTGTCTCTACTCACTCGTCTCTGCCTTGAGACCAGGGTTTTTCTCATTTTTCTCAGTCGTCTTGCTGTCCTTCCAGAGCACCACCCCACTTCTTCCCCTAATAAGGACTTGTTTCTAATCGCCTTTGAAAGTCTTCTCTGGACAAAATGTAGAAGTAAGCTGTTGAATAGTTCTAGCCTCCAAAGATTAAATCTTGTTACAACAAGCCCAAATAGGACTCTAAATAGATTCCCAATTTAAACAATTTTCAGTAAAACTTGTTATTTTGTTTACCTTGGATTTCCATGAACTCCCTCCCCAGCAAGATCATCCTCCCTGGGGTCCTTTTTCCATTTCCCTGGAAGAAAAACAGCCTCAGCTCTGCAAAGTGAGCTGGCCTGTGTCAGACCGCTACAGCCTGGGTCAGCTGGAGAGCTGGTGACCACATAAAATATATTCAAGACCTTGTAAAAGAGCCTGTATTTGAGGCTCCTTAATTTTTTGGAGGGACGGGTTCACTAACGACTACTGCCAATTCCTGAGTTCTCCATGCAGGGTGACATCCCAGTCTTACAGCAGTCTTTGAGATGTCCCCTCACCTTTGGGGTCTGTGGTGTTATTCTACCCTTTCCCTTCTAGAGCTTAAGAGCAGTCTAGGTAGGATCTAATCCTGCTTCTCCATCCCTGCCCGCACCCTGGTGACAGGCAGGAATTGCTTCCAAAGGCTGGCTGGTGGGCATCACCTTCCCCCTCTGATCCTTGCTCTGGTGCAGTGACATCCCACCAGCACGAAGTCCTTGAGCTCTGTCAACCTCAGAGATGAAGTCAGGATGGACAGACACCCTGGGCACTGCCTTGGGCGTGGCCGAGCCGGACCCCTGCGTGCTTCCACCGGAGTCAAATCAATAGTTTTGTCTCCTTTCAAAATGAGAGGAGCAAAAGCCATGGAACAGGAGCAGTCCAAAATGTGTTTAAATAGAAATAAGAAATGAGCTGAAGGAACGGCACATGTTGGCATGAGGCTGGTCAGAGCAGGCGGTGCTAGATCTGTTGTGGGAACGGCAGAAAACGTGCGTTTGAAGGAAAACAGTCCCTCGCAGACCGTGGGAAGAGACTAATGAATGCCTGGAGAAAGGGCAGATATCTAAGCGCAGAGCTTGTCCTGCTGTGTTTGAGTCAGCTTTATACCTCCTGACAATCTAAATAAGCTGTGTCCCAGCCAGGATTAAGTCAGCACTGGCCACAGGCTTTGCTAGTTCAGAAGAGAACACTTGTCCTTGCAATTAAGGGAGCAGCCTGTAAAACCTGCAAGCTGACAAGCCCAACACCTGGCAGGCAAACTCAGGCTGCCTCTGCCCAGGCATTGCCCTTACTCAGCGCTGGCTCGGGAGATGCAGAGCAGCGTGGGCAAGAGGAGAGGGGTCGCTGCGCAAGTGGCTGACGTGTCGGTGGGATCTGTACTCCCGCAGGTGATGAGGCACGAGAACTCGAGCGTTTTGGAGCTGGATGGGAAGGAGGTGTCTGTCTTCACCCCCTCCAAGCCCCGCGAGAAGTGGCTCCGCAAGAGGACTCACGTGAAGCTCCGGGTAAGGGTGTTCTGGGGCTGCGACAGGGGAAGCGCTGTCATGTGGAGGGGTTTCGATTTGGGCTGCAAGAATGGCCAGCGTGGGCACGACTGTGTCTGTCCAGAGAGAGGATCACGTCGCACTGCTGGTATATATTAGTGATTATATCCTACCCAGGTAGTAGTGAAAGAGCAAACAAAAAGATCTGTACCGGTAAGGTCTCCTCTTGGCCTTGAGTCTGTGTAAAATACAGAAAGCACTGGCCGTGGGTCACGGAAAGAGACGGAATGTCTTTCAAAGTCCAATAATGCAGGTTCTCTGCTTGGTTAAATGCCCTTCGCTTCCAGGAAATGTCTCCAGTTCCTGAAAGAGGGCAATTCTCTGCTAGAGCTGAAACAATGTCAGCAAATTTCTCTGGCAGCCGTTTGTATTGCCTCTTAAATCCAAAGTGTAAGAGTTAATAGACAGTATCAGAATTGCTTGTACAAACTGCCATTGAAATTGGCTCTTCAGCCATGTACACTCAAATCCACCCCATCAGTGCGGGGCACAGAGTCTCACCTCTGCCACAGGTCACATTCTTTTCTAAAGCTGTGGGTGGAGTGGAGGCAGGGAATGGCACAGAGAAACCCACGCTCCAATTTGTCCGTTTATATTTGGCATTTCCCTGTGAGGCTGTCTATCGCTGCAAACTTTTTTCTTTCCTCTTTTTTTTTTGGTCCCTCCTTTCCCTCTTGACTTGTGCAGAACGTCACAGCCAACCACAGGATAAACGACACCATCGCTAATGAAGACGGGCCTCAGACCTTAACCGGACGGTTTATGTACGGTCCGTTAGATATGGTCACACTCACAGGAGAAAAGGTACTGTGTCTGCTATGGGGGTTCCGCACCATGGGGTGAAAAGTGTGGGGGACAGGGACAAAGGCGGAGCTGGTCGGTTCTCTCTTGGTCCCCAACGGGGTTTGCTACCTTTGCGTCTTTGCCAGGTTCCCCTGCTCAGAGTTGTGTGGTGCCTCCTACCAGCAGCAGCGTTCATCCCGGAGGTCTTTACCACCGAGGCCGGGTTTCATTCCAGCATCCTGATGTTTGGGTGCGTCTCAGCTCAGATCTGTGAAGTGCAGAGGGTGGAAGCAGGACCCAGCCCGGCTGCTGTCCAAAGGGGCTTGGGTGGAAGGTCCCCTTGCTTGGCCTGTTCTGACACTTGTCTGTGTCTTTAATGCTGTTGTTGACCCAGCCTTGCTGTCTTCCTAGGTGGACATTCACATCATGACCCAGCCACCATCAGGAGAGTGGGTTTACTTTGACACCGAGATCAGCAACAGCAGTGGTAGGATTTCTTACGTCATCCCTGAGAACCGGCGCCTGGGCATTGGCGTGTACCCCGTCAAGATGGTGGTCAGGTGAGGTACCTTGGAGTGCCAGGACTTAGTTTGCAAGGGGAACAGAAGTGGAATCTGATGACTGTAGAATACGGTCCCTCCTTGTGGGTGGCTCTGATTGTTGGGTGGGTTCAGAGCCTGGTTTGCCAGCAACAGGGACAAAGCCATTTGTACTCTATAGCTGTAAGAGGAAGATCCACGTTTTATTCTGACTCCTACATCGTCAACAGGATGAAGGAGCAGGCCTTCTGCCCCACAGACACGTGGCCTTGCGGTCATCTGCAAAACTGCACAACTGAGCGTATTTTAAAGACCATAAACTTGTCCTTGAGGGACAGAACTTTGTACTTGTGATAATTCAGAGCCCAGAGGCTCTAGCTCAGCTCCAGTGGCTGGTGTTGAGCTCTGGAAAGGGGAGGAGAGGAGCATCTTCTCAGTGGTGAACCCAGCAATGGTTTTCTGGGAGTATTTTTTTGAGTCACTGATGCCAGAGCTCCGGAGTACTATTACCAGCCCCACTATTACCAGCCCCGCTTCAACACAGAGGCCATCATGCAGTGCCTGTCACTGCTGTAACTGAGGGTGGCATCGCTGTTAGAGGGTTTGGGCCGGATTTGGGTGCTGCTTTGGGCTTGTGATGCGCTGCAGTACTCGGTGATACCTTCTGAAAGAACCTCTATATCTTGATGCCTATAAATACCTGTGTCACTTTCAGGGGTGACCACACGTACGCAGACAGCTACATCACGGTCCTGCCGAAGGGGACAGAGTTTGTGGTGTTCAGCATCGACGGCTCCTTTGCAGCCAGTGTATCCATCATGGGCAGCGACCCCAAAGTCCGCGCCGGAGCGGTCGACGTTGTAAGGTCAGCTGCAGGGGCTGGGGCAGTCAGTCTGTTTTACCTTGGCGTTGCTCTAGGTCTGCGATCCGTTGACTTCTGGCTTTCCTTCTAGGCACTGGCAAGACCTCGGCTACCTCATTATCTATGTCACGGGCCGCCCCGACATGCAGAAGCAGAGGGTGGTAGCGTGGTTAGCACAGCACAACTTCCCCCATGGGATCGTCTCCTTCTGCGATGGGCTCGTTCATGACCCGCTGCGGCACAAAGCCAACTTCCTGAAATCCCTCATCACAGACGTAAGCCTGGGTCTGCTGAAATATGATCGTAGCACGGGTTTAGATTGCTCCTCGTCCAATTGCCCCTGTCAGCACCAGTGTCTTGGCAGCGATGTGCCCCGCAGTGGAAGATTAATCTGTTCATTTTATTTTCATCCTTTTATTGCTCTACAAAAGTGTCTACGCTGTTAAATTGTGTCATCTCTGCTCTGCACTGCTCCATTTCATCACTGGTCCTTCCAACACCAAATGCCTAATTAAACAGAGGCAGCAGTGCCTCCCCTTCCCCACACATGCACTTTTTTCACCTGTTTGGTGGTTTTCTGGCTGCCTGTGGTGTAACCAGCAGACCTGAGAGGGCATGGAGCTGCTGCAGAAATGGCCTTGCACCACCCAGCCTTGACGGGACACTCCACAGAGCATCTTCCCAAGCATTCGACCCCAGGGAGGTCTTAACGTTGCTCAGCCCAGAGCCTCAGAAAAGCTCCAGATAAAACAAGATTTTTTCTTTCTGGCAAGTGAAAGAACTGCCAGTGTCCCGAGCCCTTCTGCCCTGCCTTGAACAGCAGGGAAGTCCCTCGTTAACTCTCTCGGACTCTCATTTTGGCCCGAGTCACAGTGGCGAGAGCAGCTGGCCCTTACTTGCTGCCTGCTCTCCCTTGTCCTCCAGAAGAACAGGTTTGTGACCAGGGCCACAAATTTCCTTTCCATCTCCCTGGCCTGCCGGCGGCGCCGGGAGCAAAGCCAGCCGCTCTGTGGTGGCACCAGCGTCCGTACCTCCCCTGCCAGCCCCTGCTTCAGCCCACTAAGGAAGGGGTTGGCCGGGAGCTGCTCTCTGCTCGGAGTGGAGGCAGACAAATCCCTGAAGGCAAATCCCTGCCTCCCTGGAGGCAGAAAAGCAGCATGTTTTGCTGCCTGTCCCTTCTCCCTCTGCCCAGCAAAGTTAAACAGCAGAATTGCATGCGGCAGCATGGCTGGCGGAGGGGAACGCTCCCCGCTAATGATTACTGCACGGGGGGTTGCAAACCGCTCCTCTCCCCCAGTGACAAGCAGGCAGTGAAGTGTGCGGAGTCCCTGCCCCCCGCAGACCTCAAGGAAAGGCCGTGGATCAGTAAGCGGAGATCTGCTTTCGTATTGCTGTTACTCCTCTTGTTCTGGCCTGTAAACATCCCCAGGTCTGTTAATTAGCACTTTGCACAGCGGTGCATTGTCCAGCTGGGTACTAACATAAGTTATTGACCTGAGATTCCCACAAATGCTACTTTTAAAAAAAAAAAAACAAAAAACCCAAAAAACCCTGCCTGTTGAGCAGCACAGGGCGCCCATATGTTCTGACCGTGTGTTGCTTTCTCTCCCCGCAGCTCCACATGAGGATCCATGCGGCATATGGATCTACGAAGGACATCTCTGTGTACAGCTCCATCAGCCTCCCGCCTACGCACATCTACATCGTCGGCCGACCCACCAAGAAGCTGCAGAGCCAGTGTCAGGTAGGAGCCAGCTTGTCTGAGTCCTGGAGGTGCTGCCAAGGGCCTCCCATGGGAGGGCGATGGGAATTTGGTCACCGTAGAACTGGTGACTGAGCTAGTGTTTGCCAAGAGGACAGGAACTGTCCCACAGACCAGGACCCATCACATCTGTCTGAGTGGCTCCACCTCTTGTACATCACCCCAGAGAACCTGGTACAGCAAACGCGTTTGGCTGCCAGCGGCTATCAGGGAAACGTGTCCCATCCCTCTAACGCCTGCCCTCATCCCTCTTGTCTCACAGTTCATCACGGAGGGGTACGCAGCCCACCTGGCCCAGCTGGAGTACAACCACCGCTCGCGCCCCGCCAAGAACACCACGCGCATGGCGCTGCGGAAAGGCAGCTTCGGGCTGCCCAGCCAGACCGAGTTCCTGCGCAAGAGGAATCACCTGCTGCGGACCATCCCCCCCCGGCCTTCGGCCACCGGCAGCAGCGCCAGCCACCGCCCCGAGCGCACCCAGAGCCAGTCCGACAGCGACAAGGAGAGGGACAGGGAACGCAGCCAAAGAAGCATGAGCATCGCCACGGGGTGCTGGGGCCGGAGCACAGCATCCCGGCTGGAGTCTGGCCTCTTGGGGCAGAAGTAGCCAGGTCAGAGCCAGCGACTGTCGGCTGCAGCCACCGGAGGAGAAAACAAAAGGGAAGAGGGACGAGGCCAGTGTTACGGGCTGGAAGGGTAAATATGGTGCTACTCTAACATCATGGTATTCTGGGAAGAGACGGGATGTTTCCCACGCAGAATGTGCAGGCCTTGCAGCGGGAGCGTCAGGTTTGTGCAGCATGAGCCCAAGGAACAGCTGGAAGTTGGGGGGGGAAAAGTCTCCAGGTCAAGATCGCACGCTCTCCTGCCTCCTTCTCTTATCCAGGTTTAGTGACTGTAAATACGTGCCTCCTCGCCTTGTTAGCCATCGCTCCGATACGCGTGACCGAGTGCTGTCCTCAGAGCCACAGGAACAGGGGATGAGGCTGGGGGAACTTGTTCGTGGTTGTCCCAGGAGTCAGACTGAGGTGCTCTGCCAGTGCCGGCACGGGGTGGGTTTGGGGGTCGATAAGCATGCTGTTTCCCCGGCACAGACAGCCCCAAGCGAAGGATTTATCGTGGGCTGTGCCAGGCAGAGCAACCGAGAGCTTTACCTGTACAAAGAGCTTCAAGTTCAGCCACTTTCTCAAGGAGTACGTGCAGTAGCAAAGCATAAACATGTATCGATGCTGTTGGTAGAGGCAGAATGTCGGCAGGTTCACGCCCAAGAAAGTGGGGTCATTATTATTACTGTTATTTTTTAAAGAGACCTTTTAGAAGCCGATGGAATTTAATGCGTTTACCTATTAAAAGAGGAATACAAGCTATTTTGTTTGAGCTGTTACAAACCTCAGACACTTAATTTGCTGTTAAAGTCTCCAAATACTCTCGCTATATATTCTTTCCAAAAGTAACTACCGTATATTTGGAAGCCGCTGAAGGCACCCAGCAGCTAGATTGCATTGCAGTTCTTCTCATCCAAATGCAGGGTCTGACTCTCTCAACACCCACCTCTGAGACGTTTTCTTCTTCCCAGGTTCTCTCCAAGTTCAGTAGCAGCTTTCATGGGAACTAGACTCGCTTCTTTTACCTGTAGTTACTGAACTGTAAAACCTCATTGTTTTTTGCACTGATGATTTTTAGAATGGAAACCTGTTACCATCTCATGTAGCTACACCTAACTGTTTGTAGTGCATGACAATGAAATATTGCTAAGCCAGGGTGTGTGTGTATATATATAAATATATGCATATACATATGCACACACACGTGTATATATATGTATATATTTAAAAAAAAAAAAAATCTGTGCAGAAGTTTTTCCAGCAGTAAGGAGACTGTAAGGAAGTGTGCCAACGACGTCAGGCAACCTTAAGAAAAGGCCATATCTTAATTTTCCTGGTGTGTTTCTCAGTGGATGTGCCTGAGCTGATGGTTTGTGTGCTGCTGGCGCGGGCTGGGGCTGGGTGGGTGGCAGAGGGGAGCTGCCAGTGCGCAGGGCGAAGCGCTCGCTGCCGGCTGGCACCCCCGGTGACACCGAGACGTGCGCCGTGCGCGGTACAGGAACGGGAGCGCGTTGCTCTGCAGCAGCGGAGGAGAACAGTGCCTAGAGCGAGGGCTTGCCAAAAAGCCCCTTAGTCCTGTCCCTCCCGGGTCAGCCTGGCCCCGGTGAAGGGCCCGGTTCCCTCCTTGCACACACCTCCCGGGGCGGAGGGGCATCCACCCCGGGGGATCCGGGGTGCCCATTTACAGACTCCAGTTGGCCTCTTCACGTGGAGATTTTATAGTCCTACCGAGCTCCCTGACTATGTGTAACCCTGCTTTCCCCCACCACACTTTCCTGTCTTTGTACCACTTTCTACTTATGAGGATCTTATTTATAACAAAGAATTTTTTAGACTGGCTGCTTCATTTTATTAACTGTTTCAATATGAAGTGCAGGACGGCCGCACTGAGACACACAGCACTGTGAACGCTGCTCTGCTAATTGGCTCTGGGCCACGGTAGGCAAACCTAAACTCATCAGACATCCAAGGTAGATCTCACGTGTTCGTGGCGCTGGAGGGTCGAAGCGGAGGCAGAGGAGGGACAGTGCTGAGCTGCCGACGGCATCCAAGCCGGTGGAGCGCTCAAACCCAGCTGCCCGCCCGCCGCCCAGTGCATCTCCCACGTCTTGCAGCCTGACTGCAAAATGTTTAACCACTTCTCTTTGAGAATTATTCAATTACAGAATGTATCTGATGACTTTTGTTACCGAAAACTGACTTCCCTTTCTGCCGACTCAGCTTAGCTCTCTCTGAATGTACATCCAGAGCTTACTGGGTTTAAAAACAATGTGAATTGTCCCAGCTTTTCGCTAGTCGAATGTTTTATCAAACAGATGCCATCCGAGTAGGAAGCCAAGCCACAATCCATCCTGTGAAGTCACCAAACCACATCACAAAATAATTTCTGCAAATTTGGATATGGCCTTTGCAAAATTCAACTTTCCTCCATGAAAAGGCGTGATCTGTACATTTTCCAATGCTGACAAGATGTTCACATTTTCTTATGTGTAGATAGTGTAAAACAGAGGCGAATGTAAATGTTCAACATAAAAAGTGGATATATAAAACTGAAAGTTATTTATTTATGTAGAGGGGAAAAAAATGTCTGGAGGGACTGGAACCTTCAGGGTTTATTAATATTTAAAAATGTAGCTTTTTGTTTCAGGCATTATGTACAAAGCAATTATTTTATGGACCAAGTTCAATGTAACTGTCAATGAATGCAGAAGTGCAATATTATACTCACCTCTCCATCACGTCATGTTTTAAACAGCTACTAACCAGTTAGACTGACAATCATAGCACCTCCGTCCTCATCCTTTGTTGAGCTGCTTGAAGGGTCCTTTCCCTGGCCCCCATCTTGTTGCCGTTGTACGGATCCAACACGGAGAAGCAATTGTAGAGCAGGACCTTTATTGCTGCAATAATACCAGATGAGGTGGGTGTAGTGACCAGGAAATATGCCAATAAGTTTTTCTCCACCGATTCAGTCCATCACAGTCCACATCAGTCTATCCTCAGCCGCCCCCATCTGGCAGTCATCTATCTGAAGCAAAGATCAACGTGCTACTCACTCCAAGAACAATAGCAATAGTTTAACTCTGTGTTTATATCCTGTTTGTTCCGAGCTGTTTTGGAGAGCAATGCATGTGACCCGATGCCTTTCCACATGTATGGAAGAGGATCCGTTTGGATGCAGCGAGGGAAAGATGAACGTATATTCCATCCTTACTAAAGGGGCACTGTCAGGTTAAAGACCTAATTTGTCTTTGTTACAAGTAACTTTTTTGCTTCAAAATGAAAGAATACCAAGTTTCTTGTGCTCCTCCCTATCGCCGTTGTCTGGGCAGCCATCGGCGCGACCGGTGGCAGGCAGCCCACGTCCTGTTCTCGCACACTAGCACAATACAACCTGCGCTGCACAGGCTGCCTTGTTTGGATTTTTGTTTTGGTTTGGTTTTTTTTTTAATTGTTTCCATGGGAATCAAACTCTGCTGTGGAGCTCACATTTTTTATAAAAAGCAGCTTTTTGTATTACTGCACTATTGGGCCAGACTTTCTACCTGACGCTGTCCCTTTAAAGTCTTTTAAAAATAAAGAGGAGCCCACGCGTTCCCTCCGAGTTGTTTCCTGGGTTTGCTAGATCACTCGGTCAGATGAGGCGAAATTCTAATACCAAAAACGTTTACAGTGTCCGACACGCGAGCCGAGAGCAGTAACTAGCCAAAGGGTTACTAACAAACTCCCGCTCCGCCCAGCAGCCGCTGTGCTTGCTGTAGCAGCCCCTTCTTCAGGTATCGCCACCGTTTGCTGCATTTCCTATTAGTTCTAGAAGCCTTACGGTCCCTTCCCCGTCCTCGGCACCCTCTGCCTGTTGATACCCTCGACTGTCAATTTTATATTCCAACGATGTTAGTTATATTTTATTTATAAAAAATTGCTTTAGGGGTAACAGACGTGTGTGTGGGGAACCACTGGAGGGCATGCCCGAGGGCGCCGGCAGCCGTGCTGGGTACGCCCCTGTGTGTACAGTACCGTGCCGATGACTCGCTTGTGTGTGACAAACCTTCTGTACGACTTCCTTCTCCTCCTTGCTGTTAGTGCATCGTTCCAATGCCTGGGTGTGCTTTGTGTACAGTATCATTGTGAGTTACACAGATTAAAGAAATGGGAAGGCTCTTCTCTGTCTGCTTTTTTTTTTGGGGGGGAGACTCTAGAAACAGACAAGTCACAAAACCCAACACGTGAGCAGGCGCCAGTTTAATGGGGTTACAGCGATGAACAGAACGTGGAGCCCCTCCGCGCAGATCCGTCCTGCAGGACCCGTTTGTCCTTTTTTTTTTTTTCCCCTCCCAGTCTGTCGATTTATGGGCTTTGCAGTGGGGGAAAGGCCAGCTGTTTGCTTCACAGCGGCCATGGGCACGGGTCCTGAGAAGCCCAGAACCCTAACGCTGCCCGGAGCCTGCGCTGTGGGGAAGGGACACAAGTCGCATGCAGGAACAGACGGCAAGGCAAAGCCACCCTTCTGCAAAGCACGCCTGCCCGCACCCCAGTGCGGTGTGCCGGGGCTGTGCTCCCCCAGCGCCACCCGACAAGATGAAGCTGCAGAAAAGCTGAGTAAAGCTCCTGGGGCACAGCGGAGGGTGGCACTTGAAGTTGCAGAGGAGAGCTGCAGCCTGAGCAGAGCCACGCAGCGGCACAGCCGCTCCTCTCTGAGCCGGGTGGGTGAGTGCAAAGGGCCCACGAGCCTGCAGCACCAGGTAAGCACGGGGCATGCAGATCCAGCAAGGAAGGGGCCAAGAGCAGCCCCTGAAGGGAAGAAGTGGCATCCAGCTGCATATTTTGCAGCCCCAGCACATACCCTGTCCTGGCCACAGCGCTGGCTCCTGCCCACCAAAGCCCAGAGCTGAGGGGCAGCAGCACCGCTAGGTGCTCAACACCAGCGAGCCTGTCCCCTGGGTGCTGCTGAGCTCCTCCGGCCTCGAGAGGGGCATCGGGGCAAGCAGGTCCAAGTGCGTTACAGCCACGCTGGCCCCAGTCAGGAGAGGGAGGGGAGAAGCTGTTTACTGGGAGATGAACTATTAAAGTTGCTCTCCTTCCCAGTCAATAACTTACAGAGCGGCTGGAAACTGCCCCTGGGGAAGAATCCTGACGCAGTGCCGTCTACGTGATCCAGAGACAGAGGCTCACGCCTGGGCTGGCGCCAGCAGCAGGACAGGCTCCCGGCATGGCTGGCGCTTGCGCGCTCACTGCAGCATCCCCGTCCTCACCTGGAAGGCCAGCCCGTCCCCCCGGGTGGCTTGCTGCAAAGGGAGAGACACGGGTGCTCACAGCACCGCCTGCCCCAAGATGAAGGACCACCAGCACCCACCCGCGGGGGCCCCTGCGGAGCTGCCAGGGCTCGGTTTGCCCTGGTAGAGTCGGTGAGGTCCCCAGGGAGGCAAGACAACGCCTCTGGGTGCAGCAGCTCCCCGGCCGCGCCCGCCCACCCACCAGCAGCGCACGCTGGTGACAAGTCCCCACTACCTTGTTAATCTCCTTGTGTCTCTCCTTGCTGACAATTTCTTCTAGTACTTCTCCGTCTCCCTTAATAAGCCTGGAAAACAAACACAGGACCACCAGCCGTGAGGGCTACGGGCAAGTTCCTGCCAGCCACGCTGATTCCCAGCCGCACTGTGCCCCAGGTCAGGCATGCAGCCACCAGCTCCCTCACAGCGGGACGTGCCCGGGACCAGGTGCTGGGCTGATGCACCTCGAGGCGAGGGAAGTGACGACCTACCCCTGAAGTTGCATTAGGTGACTTTTTCTGGCCTTACCAAGCTTGAACAGCACGGCAGGCTTTTCCATTGCTCTTGTGGGATTAACGTCACCATGCTGCAGCAAGGACAGATGTGATCCCCTGAGAAATCAGCAGCCCCCTGCATGGGCCAGCCGTCCCCGCCCTAGGCTGTGGGCACTGTCTGCTGTGTGCACAGCCAGTCACGCCTGCACACGGCAGGAGAAAACACTCGCGATAAAAGCATCTCCTGCTGCCCCACCACCTGCAGAGGCTTCGCTGTCAACGGCAGTGGCCCCAACCCCTGCAAAAACCCCTTCCTCTTTTCACACAGGGTTCAGGTCTGCTCCTGGCTGCCCCAGGAAACTGCAGAGCCATTCAGAAACAGGAGCCAGTTTGGGCCTGAAAGGCAGCCAGACCAGGGAGCATCTTGCTGAGCAAATTCCAAGCAGTGTCGGAGGTGGCTCACACCTCCAAACACGAACAGAAATTTAATTGTCTTCATTACATGCCTTACGGGGAACCGACCTTTGTTCCACACCTCCCTGAGCCCCGCAGGCTGCCTTCTATTTTAAGACTGGACTTGTCATACCCAATTCTCGTCAGCATAATGTTTTCTGCTTGCTGAGAAGATGCATTTTATTAAAAACTGGGTCATTTCTATTTGGCAGCTAAACAAACTTCGGTTTGATTGTTGTCTGTAACCCCAAGGGGCACACACACTCCCTCCTCACTTGCACCCAGGTGCTAACCGGGGCTGCCTGCGTGCGTGCTTCGGAGCTGAAAGGCGAGTGCATGAAGCAGTGGGGTAAGGAGGTACCGGTCACCCCTCTGGTTCCCGCTCTGCCCCTGCTTGCAGGGCCCCATTTAATGGGAAGAAGCTGAACCCTTCACAGCGCAAGGAACAAACCTGCCTCCAGCAGCAAGTCGCTCTGCTGCCTGTGTCGCACAGCTCTGGGTTGGGACGCAGCCCGGTGCCCCTCGCGTGGAGCCCCAGCACAATTCGGTAATTTGGTGTCAAACCTGTCACTTTCTGGAGAAGTTACACCAGGTCTGATGGGAGGGGCTCTGCGAGGGACCGGCTCAGGCCTTTGCTGCTGAAGCGGACCTGGGTCCACGCATGGTACTGCAGTGCCACGGACCGGCATCCTCCAGGACTCCAACCCCCACAACATGGATGGGAATGGACAACCTGCCTCCCTTTTCCCCAGGGATCATACCTGGTTCTCCCCGTTTCGGGATCCACGACTCTCCTTATGACACTCTGCCTTGCGTCCCATTCTTCCTTTGTCATTGGCTTCATAGCCTGGATTCGGGATTTTTGTTCATCTGTCAAAACTGGAATGCATCAGTTCATCAGAGCCGTGCCCGTGGGGCCGGCTCCTGGCCGAGGGGCACAGCACCATGCCTGACATGAACAGACACGCATGCTGCACCAGTTTCCCGGCGGTACTCGGGGTTCAGTGATGAACCACGCAAAGGAAGGGCCGCCTCATGTCCCGAAGCCAGTACCAGCTTTGCCAGTTTGTTACTGCTGACCGTGACCTTCCATCTGGCATCTTTGTTCCCTGCTCACATCTACAAACTACACCTAAATACTTCACAAAGGACTCTCCAAATGTGGCTCCTTACGTTTACTTGGCGTGGCTCGAAGGCGGCCACGGTACATGGGAGGGAGGAGCACCAGGAGCTCCTCTCTGTACACAGCCCTGCTTCCCTCAGACACCTCGTGTGGGTCCCAGGAAGGGCGACACGC